CTATAATTGACGTCATTATCATTAAAATTGACATCAAATTTCAAAGCAGTTTTATGACCTTTTGAGTGGCAGAGAGAGAACTGATTTCCTTTGAGACAGAATGTGCTAAAGTCAATCTAAACTTTTCAGTTAGTTTAATACCAAACCTACATTTTTGTGCATATTACTTTATTCCATCACCAGTATAAAAGCAGAAGTTGCCTCATACTGCAAAGTTAATTGAATTATATTGTATACACTTCTCAGATACAGATGAGAGAGCCAAGACCACCTGATCCACTAATTCATTGATATACCTGCACCCAGACACATCCCTTACTTTCATAAAAGAAGGGGGTTCCTTAGTATAGTGACAGTTAACAATTAATTAACTGACAGCCTTTTTTTGGAAGGTATCCAATCAACAACCTGCACAACTATTTTTTTTTATTGCAGTTAGCTGTTGATGATTAAATTCTAACTTTGACAGGTATAGGCAAACAAGCTTTAACATTACCATAGTTATGATCCTGGAGAAAGACCCCTTTTCCTCAGCAATAATGGCCCATATTGAACAAGTCAAATTGAAAGAACACAATGTGTGTAAGTATGGGCACATGTGTACAGAGAAGTGGGAGTGGGGTAAGTGTGGTCGTATATGTGTGTATGAAGTGTGGTTGTATATGTGTGTATTTGCATATTATGTAAATATGCAAATCAGTGCACTGTTAAATTTTATTATTTCTGTGTCCTCCTCATCCTCAGGTTCTCCAAATCTGATAAGGGCTTCTTGGATGTGGTTTGGATTTAAATTACATGATAAATACTGAAGTGTGTTAAACAATGAGATATAGGATGAAAAGAAAAATCAAAGGTTCAGGCCCCTGTAAGTATGGGAAGGACACGAGTTATACCTTTGACCTTAACTATCCCTGGTACCTCAACAGCACACTGAAATATCAGGTCAGTAATGTGAGCAGTGGAACATACAATAGTGATGAGAGACTTGTCATGTCATCTTGAGTGTTTCTTAACATAACTAACAGTTTCAATAGCTCTAGAGAGGAAGATGGAAAAAAATAGACCTTATTATTAACTTTCCTTAATTAGAGCAAATGAATACATTAATTCTACCTGCACAAGGTTAAATTGTGCAGCTACCGTCCCACCCAACCCTTAAAGTTCTAAGACGTCGCAAGCAGTGCCGTACTCAGAATGCCTCTGTCAAATTGAATGAATTCCACTCGACATTGCAAGTAAAATGTGTTTTTTACACTGTCTTCTCTACAAAAATTTATAATTAATCTGTTTACAGACAACTAAAGAGAACAACAAATTCCACAACTATTTATGCTATATTTGGTCTATTTTAGAGACTCAAGGGAAAAAAGATGATAGGGGAAGAAATACTTCCCAAGTTTCAAGAAATGAAAGATTTACATGTAAGTACACAAAACAAGATATTAAATGAGTAAAATCCTGATTGCTGATGAGCATCAGAATAAAGAAAAAAAAAGTGCTGGTGAGGATATGGAGAAAGGAGAACACTTTTGCACTGTTGGTGTGGAAAGCAGTATGGAGATACCTCAAGAAATTAAAAGTAGATCTGCCTTTTGACCCAGCTATCCCACTTCTGGGTGTACATCTGAAGAAACCCAAAATACTAACTCCAAAAAAACCTAAGCATCCCAATGTTCATCTCAGCGTTCTTTACAATCACCAAAATATTGAGATAGCCCAACAGTAGATGAATGGATATAACAACTATGGGACATTTCCACAGTGGAATACTACTCGGCCATAAAAAAAGATGAAACTTTTACCCATTGCAACAGCATGGTTGGAACTACAGTACATTATGCTAAGCGAAATAAGCCAGTCAGAGAAAGACAAGTACCATATGATTTCACTCATATGTGGAATTTAATGAACAAACTAAACTTACAAGCAAAAAATAGAGAAAGACTCAGAGGACAGGGTGATAACTAAGGGAGTGGAGGGATTGGGCAAAAGGGAAATAGGACTCATGGACATAGACAATAGTGTGGTGATGGCAGAAGATGAGGATAAAGGGACTAAATGGTAATGGAAAAAATACAATAAAAAAGAAAAAAGAAAAAGAACCAATGCAACGAAGCTTTAAGAAATAGCTAGAATATTTTAAATCTTAAAGATAATTTCTTATATATCAAATTAATTGTTTTTAAAACTATAACTATGGCTGTCTTGTTAAAAGATATGTGTTAATACAAAACATAAAAGTTTCAATAAATCCAGTACTGGCAGATTTCTGAATAATACAAAATCAGAAATTTCAGGATAAAATTTAAAATTCTATTCAATAAATAGTGAAATGTCTAATGAAACCTAGTTAAATTTTACATTATGCCATTTCTATCTTTACAATACTTCCTATGCATGTAGTTGTTTTCAATTCTTATCTCGAGCACTGTAAAAGTTGAATCAAGTTCAAAAAAAGCAGGGCCACATCTAAGGTATTTCTATGCATCATGGCTACATGGCTCCACACAGCTGTGTGATTGGGGCTGGATTCTCACCAGCACTGCTCCAAGGTCCAGAATCACAAGTGCAGGTGTTGGAGGGCATTTTGCATCATCTAGTCCAGTTCTATACCCTGCTTCAGAAAGCTGGCTTACTTGCACATACCTACACCCAAATGTCATCAGGCTCAGCCTCTGAAGAAAGAAATCTCAGAGTATTCTGGTCTTGCTGGGTGTGTGCCATTTTGTTCCAAAAGTCAGGAGACACGTTTCTTCCTTTCCTGGCTCTTGTGGGCACAGGGTGGGCTTTCTCATTTCTGAGATGATAACCTTAATGAGTGCCTTCCCCTTGGGACTGAAAGGAGAGTAGTAGTGCCCTCCCTGAATGCTCAGTAACCAGACACAGTTGAGCCCTACTTCACCTTCAACCTCTGACTACTCTGGATTGCTCCTGCCTGGGGCTGCCAGACATTGGAAAGCATAGCCACACAGTGTTCTCTCTCTCCTTTTGGTTCATTAACACTACAGGGCAACTGTCAACCCTGCATAAAGCCACAGCCATCGCTGGAATTACGCGAGGGCTAATTACACTGTCCAGGCACAGTGTTTTCCTTCCCTCTAGCATCCCACCATTTGGACATTTATTGCTCATTAATTGTCCAAATTAGTGGACCTCCACAAGCAGAGGAACAAGACAAGATGGTCAGCTATGCCACTGGCATTTCCAAGGAAAAGCTTAAATCTAAGAAATGCCAATCTAGGCTTCCTCTGCAGGGGGGTTTAGGTAAGCAAAATCCCCCTTATAATCTTTGTTAATAATTTCTCCCTAAATGCTAAATTATATTAAGAACTAGAAATCTTTTCTGCAAGTGGCTTGCTTTTTAATTTGCTTTTTAGACATCTCTAAGGGTTACTGAAAACTCAAGTGTGATTCTTCGTCTCCTCTCTCCTAGCCCAGTCTACCCAGCCTGCTTGCTTAAGTGGGTATATTCTTCCTCTCTCCAGCAATGGACCATCAACTGTATTGCCCATTCTGTTCCCATAACTAGACTCATGTCAGTTCCTACTATTTTCCTTAATTTGTCTTTCACACCTAGTCTCTTTTTGCAAAGCCCACCCCATCACTTACCTCCTTTGCAAACTAAACTCCCACTTGCCACATAATCAATATATTGCCATAGTCACAGCTGGTCTTTTCTGGAATCTCCCAGCACCATAGTTGAACCACTTCTATTGATTTCTGAACTCTGAACTATCATCCGTTTTTAAAACTTATCTCACCCCTCATTTTCCTCACACAATTGCTTTCCCCCTCACCAACTCCTTCATCTTCCAGAGTCTGAGGTTCCCTCACACTTTTCCTCTCATTCTGGTCTTTTCACTTTCTCTCTGTGAAGCATCACAGATAAACAATATGGATTCTTTTCTCTTTGTACTTTAAAAATGTCTTATTCATCTTCTTTTTCTTTTGGTTAATAACTCATTCCTATTGTTTTGCTAATAGAATCTGTAAGCCAGAGGCTAGTTTTACATCTATATTTAGTAAATTGAATACTAGACTATTTTGTAATAATGCCATAGGATACTGGAATCACTCTTCTGGGAGCTCTGAATTCCTGAGGGTAAAGACTCAAATGCTGTGGTAGATTAGTTAAACCATACAGAAAGTAAGTCATTATAATTGCTTATCCAAGTAAATATTGTGAGTTATAGTGACTGTTTAAGCTAGTTTGTTTTTAAATTTTTATTGTATTTTTCCATTACCATTTAGCCCCCTTTGTACCCCATCTCTCCACAGCCCCCACACTGTTGTCTATATCCATGAGTCCTTTTCCCTTTGTGCTTAATCCCTCCACTGCCACCCTCCCTTTGCCTTAGCTGCCATCCTGCTCTCTATCTATGAGTCTGTCTCTATTTTGCTTGTTACTTCAGTTTGTTCATTAGAATCCACATATGACTGAAATAATAAGGTATTTGTCTTTCTCTTACTCACTCATGTCACTTGGCATAATGTTCACTAAATCCATGCTATCGCAAAGGGTAATATTTTCTTCTTTTTAGGGCTGAGTAGTATTCTATTGTGCAAATGCCCTGCGCACTGTAGAGCCCTGGCTGGTGTAGCTCAATGGATTGGGCATGGGCCTGCAAACCAAAGGGTCACTGGTTCAATTCCCAGTCAGGGCACATGCCTGGATTGTGGGCCAGGCCCCCAGTTGGAGGCATGTGAGGGGCAACCACACATTGATGTTTTTCTCCCTCTCTTTCTCATTCCCTTTCCCTCTCTCTAAAAAAAATAAATAAATAAAAGACACTAAAGAAAAAACTGAAAAAGACACAAATAACTGAAAGCACATACCATGTTCATGAATAGGAAGAATTAACAACCTTAAAATTTCCATGCTGCCCAAAGCAATCTATAGATTCAACACAATTCCTATCAAGATTCCTATTTCACAGAACTAGAACAAATATTTCAAAAATTTATAAGGAACCATAAACAACCCTACATAGCACCAGTAATCCTGAGAAAGAAGAACAAAGTTGAAGGAATCACACTACCTAATATCAAACTATACTACAAGGTCATAGTATTCAATTAGCAATAATCGCGCCTCGGATAAACCTCATTGGCTACAATACTGCCACTGTGCAAAGCTAAGGTCATAGTATTCAAAACAGCCTGGGACTGGCATGAAAACAAACACACAAATGAATGGAACAGAATAAAAAGGCCAGAAATAAACCCATACTTTTATAATCAATTAATATTTGACCGAGGAAGCCACATATACAATGGACTAAAGATAGTTTATTCAATCAATGGCATCAGGAAAATTAGACAGATATGTGCAGAAAAATGAAACAAGACCACGTCCTTATACCACACACAATAGTAAATTAAAAATGAGTTAAAGACAAATATTAGACCCAAAACCATAAAAATCCTAGAAGAAAAAATAGGCAGTAAAATCTCAGACATTGCTGGTAGCAATATTTTATGTGATATATCTACCCAAGCAAAAGAAACAAAAGAAAAAAATAAACAAATGGAACCACATCAAACTAAAAAGTCTTTGTACAGCAAAGGAAATCATCAACAAAATAAAAAGACAACCCATGGAATGAGAGAACATATTCACCAATACATCTGATAAGAGATTAAAATCCAATATTTAAACTAGTTTTGAAAAATTTATTTTACTATTTTAAAACTTGCAGTCAGTGACAGTGGCCATTTTTTAAAATAGGTCCAGCAAAATACTCAGATATATCTTCACTCTGTTAATAGGTACAGATGAGATTGAGGTCAATCTATGTAAACATGAAGCAGCGTAATCCGACAAAGGAGAAATGACAGTACAGATACTGGGGTCCAGAGACTGAATTCTCTCTGCTATTATCTTGTATTTTACCTATAACATCTGCCATGTGGATAACTAACCTCAGAGGTCTTATTATTGATCTAAAGTGGTGCCCTTAAGTAGGTCAGGCTGGTGGTAACATAGCATACTTCTTAAAATAGTACTTAATAATATAAATTCAAGTGCTTCCAAATTCCAATCTTTCAGACTCTCCCTCAAAAGAATATTTGAAGCACCTATTTAGAGGTACTGTGCATACACTGTGTTTTTGGAGTTCATAACAGTTTTAAAAAGATATAATCTGGAACAAGTGTCATTTTAATACTAAGTGTTATTTTATGATTACATAAATATGCATGTTAAAGACAAAATGACCCTAATAAATTTACCAAGTCACACTTTCTGCCTCACACACGTCACCTTTAGTTCATCACTCTAATCATGCTAAATTCCTGGGTAATTCAAAGAAAGACTTCTTTTTTACAATGTCTATCATACTACAGATGAACTTTTTGCATATAGATATATACATGTATACATATACAACTTTAAAAATTCAAAAACTTGATGATTTGAAAATGCATGCATGTCCATGTAAAATATTTGGGAAATAGTAAAATATGAAAGGGGAAACATATATTACGTAGATAAGTTAGCTCACACAATGGCTACGCTCAACTCCACTTTCCTTTTGCATTTTCTACCACTGTACTGCATGCTGTGGAGCTCTAGGCAGATCCCTTCTTCAGAACGCATGTGCCCCTCTTCCCTCTGCTGGGAAACTCCGGCTGTTGATCTGCACCATGAACTGCCCTTGGCTGTAGGAAACTACCTTTCTTAAGGTAATGCCCCTTCCCAGGAGGCTAAGCCCCTTGCCTCAATTTGTGACAAAGTTCAAAGATCACCTGATTTCCAGAATGCTCACAAGATCAGGTGAGATCTCAGTTGCAACCACATTGGAAGCTGGCTTCTCCCCCTCTCTAGTCCTGCCCCTCCTTTCCTCACACGTTTCTCTTCTGCAATGACACCTCAATAACCTTTCTGCATGTGATTTTCTGTATCACACACTATTTCTAGGGAATCTATTGTTTTAAACTCAAATACCTAGGAAACAAAATACTTTTCCTGCCTCCCTTGTTATTCAGCTTGGCCTTGTGCCAATGATATTAGACACAATTCACCAGGGAAGGATTTTTTTTTTTGCTTCATTCATAATCAGGTTTCACTAGGATATGTTCCTTTGACATTTTTCCCACTTGTCTCCCTCGACCCTAAACATAGACAATATATCTGCAGGGTGGCAGTACCAAAGCTAACACAGCAAAGCCTCCATAAGGAACTCAGACTTTTGAGAACACCACCGAGCAAGGGAACTTATGCCAGCAATCATCAGCCCCTAAACTTTTGATTAAGTGGAGAAAAAAATAAAAACCAATTTTCAATGCCAACTAACCCACAGAAAAAAAAGAGATAATAAGTGATTATCATTTTTTTAAGTTATTACATTTTGAAGTGAATTGTTATGCACCATTAGATAACATGAACACTTGCAAATTATTATAATTATTATCTGATCTCTCAAAATACAGTTGTTTTTCAACTTAAAAATTATAGAAAGGTTTATAGGTTTACTTAAAATATGTAATATGAGACCATTGTTCTTTTCCATTGTGAGGGAAAATGAGAACAATATGTTAAGTTTAGTTTGTTAGGTAGTAGAAACGAGGACCCTCACACTGGAATTATTGAGTCTTTGCAGTTAAAACTATGTCTGGCAAAATAGTAAAGGTCAGCATTATTGTCCTTTTGTTAAAAGTACATCAAAATGGGTGCCAAATATATTATTTCTTCTAACAGTAGGCTTCTCGTTCATTGTAGAGACTCTGTAGGCAAAGGAAAACTAGTAGGTCACATTTGGGTTTATGAGAAAACTGTAACAATGCCAAGTCTAGGCTAAAGTTTGGGACTACAGGACTCACTAGAGGCGGTTCCCTTGTTCTGTGACAAAGCACATTGGCAGGTAAACTCACAGCAGGTATCTCATACTTCAGTGTCGTGAAATGCAGATAAAAACGCCACAGAGGTCAAGAAAGCGGCTTGCTTCTAAATGTTTCTTAAGGTCAGGCTCCTTTATCCCCTAACTTCCCATGTGTAATTTAAACTACACCCCCAGTGTGAGATCAAGATAGCCAAAATTCTCGTTTCCTTCAGAAAACGTTTCCAATAAAAAATGGCAATATTTCTTTAAAACACACACACATACAAGCCTGAAGTCAAACCTTATACTCCCTCCACCTAGAAAACATGACCAGGTCATTAAGCAATAAATACCCAACCTATTCACAGACAATCAGCGGTCACGTAGAAAATTACTCACCGTACACACCGGTTGTGCAGAATGTTGCAGGGTCTGAATTGTGGCCAAGATATTTGGCTTTGGCATATCTCCACTCTTCAATTTGCTACAATGCACTTAACCTACCACTGTTATTCAATGCGCTATAACTGTAATACAGGCGCCTGCGTATTCACTTGAGCTCAACAATTCCCTTGGCTAGGAGTATTTCCAAACAAGGTCATAAATATAAATTCCTGCCATTTTCAAAAGTACCTATAATAAACATTTCTGAAACGCCTTGAAGGCCTGCGGTTAACAATAAGCTTTTGTGTACATGGATTAGAGAATAAGGGCAAGGAGTACTTTATTAGCACACTCTTAGGCATTTGATTTATTATTTCTGCAGAGACATCATTGCCAGTTTCTTCAATAGCATAAAAAAGTCAGTATTTCAGTTGTTGATGGCCCTACTTTAGAATCCCAGGGGCACTGCCTAAGTGAGTTCTAGTGATTATTCAAGAAACAACCGGTGCTTACACCACACCCATTAAGCAGATTATTGAAAGGCTTTTTAAATCTTACATGTAAAGGAAAGCTTAACTAGATAGATAGATAGATAGATAGATAGATAGATAGATAGATAGATAGATAGATAGATGATAGATAGACAGATAGATAGACAGCGGTTAGATGATAACAAAGATCAGATAATAACAAAATTAAGTCGCTGGTGTTTCTTATTAGCTAATTGAGAATAACAAATCATCCCCAAATTTAGTGGTGGAATACAATATTAATTATATAATTTACAAGATAAACTTTTAAATCATAACAATAGGAATTGGGAGGCTACTTCATCCTCATATTTGTTTTATTTCATTACTTTTTAATGTTCTATTTACTTATTTTTAGAGAGAGGGAAGGGAGAGAGAAAGAGAAGGAGAGAAACATCAATGTGTGGTTACCTTCATGCGCCCCGTACGGGGAACCTGGTCTGCAAACCAGGCATGTGCCCTGACTGGGAATAGAACCGGTGACCCTGTGCTTCACAGTCCAGTGCTCAGTCTACTGAGCCACACCAGCCAGGGCGTGTCCTCATATTTAAATAAAATTTTACTTTCAAGTAGAAAATATTTTGTTTGTTAACTCTGTGTTGCTCTGCTACTCTCTGGCATAAATTAACAGCTTTGCCCCTCTGGGTAATCAATGGCCTTATTTGTGACTCGGAGCATGATATGAATGTATTTCAAGTACTCAGTCCTTAAACAAATCTACAAGTGTTGAATTTTGTCAACACTTGGTTTGGAACTTGAAATTTTTGTAAGCATAGCTATATTTGCAATATAAGTTCTAAATGGGAGACTATTTATGGGCATCTTCTTATTTCTAGTAGAGTTGACATCATTATCACCAAACCATGTAGGTGAACTAAGTATCTAAGTCTAAACTACCTTCTTTTATAGCTGTGTAATAATTTCCCATGTTTCTGTGCTCTGTTTTTCATGTGTTATAACACATAAAAGAGTCTAGTAAATACTTTATCCTAAAGTTTCTCTGGTGTGAATCAATGTTTATTAATTTACCTCATCGATGATTACAAATTATAGGTATTACCTATCTGTCCTCACAATTTAAAAATTAACCACTATAATAAAAAGATACATATCCCATTGCCTTTATTCTATATTGGTTATATCTATTTTTCAATAGCCAAATTTTTTTTATCCTCAAATCATAATGCAATCCAATACATTGTATACAAAGAAGAAGCTACAAGATAAATATTATTCTCAGTGGATTATATTTAAACTGCTCCACAAAAAAAGGACAAAATATGGTTAGTTTACACAATATAACACTATAAATTATCTAAAATTTTAATGAAATTTTTCAGAAGATAATTACAAATTGACATGCAGTTGTAAGAAATAATAGATACATGCCTTGTGTACTTTGC